TGATTCCAAAAGGCTAAACAAGGTTAAAGACATGCTTCACTTGCTGAAAGGCCGATGTTAACAGCCAGGGCGCACAAAGAAAGTTCCTTTGGTTTGTTAGCATTTATCCGTCTTGAACTGTGGGACGACACTATACTTGCTGATGAGATAAATGTTGATACTGACACTGGCTGTCTTTATGACAAAGAACCTCAGAATAAATGTGGAAATAAAGGTAGTGTGCGTTTGGGAAAAGGACAGACGTGTCAACAGTAAAAATGATTTGCTCTTCACGGCGTCGTATAACAAACAAATTACTAAACCATCACTGCCTATCATTTGCACCTTGTCTGACAGTGACGTATGGAGTCAAAGCGTTTCATTAATAAACTCAGAAATGAGATGTATACATCTGAGGCAAAAAAGTAACAGAATATTCCAAATAAGTACAAGGCAAATGCAAACTGCTGTATTATTTATGCATAAATGAAGCTGACAGTTACAGAAAATGGACCGCGAGATCAAAGCTGGGGCAATAACTGCAAATATTCTGATTTATGAGGGAGTCAGAAACTATTTCAAAGTCTTCATGATGACTGCAATAAAATCAGCTGATGACAACTGGAAAAAGACAATAAATACGTTCAAAAGAAATAAGCAATAAGTTAGCAGAGCAGAACGCTGCTTGCCAATTGGCCAAAGACTTGATTCATTCCTTAATCATGGTTTTTGAAGATTTTTTCCAACTGTACAAGCAAATGGTTTCGTGAAAGAATTTGAATTACAAGCCACCTTTAAAGCAAAGGTCAGAAAAAGACAAAAAAAAAAAAAAACACCGAAACACATCGCTTTAATTTAGGACGACATCCTATTTTAATTTCATACGATATTCTACAGATTCACATACAAAAGGATGGAGCAAAAGGTCCTCATGTACAACAAACACCTCAGCTAAAGGTTTGTTGTTTGTTTTTTGTTGTTTTATTTTTTTTGTAATATCCAAGCATTACTTTAAAACAGTCACTTCAGGAAGTTTGAACCACTTTCTGTTTTGATAAATCAAATAATTTGATTTACTTTTGTTAAAAGAAACATTCTGAAAACGTAACGGTATTACACTGCTCGATTCCATTATTTGAAAATGTACACTTTGTAACTTTTGGACCTAACGGTTAAAAAAAATGCTTGCATTTTGCGGATGAACGTTGTTTTGGTTGTGTTTCGGCTCTGACTGTGCGGATGAATATGGTTATTATTCCACTACTCATAAAGCATTTAGCTTTATACCCATTAATCCACATGCTACTTCCTTAAAAAATAGCACAGCCCTACAACAACCAATAATGAAATCACCCTTCACAATTTACAATGAACAAAGAGAGCTCATGTCTAAATATTCAATAAAATACCTTACTCACCTGTTAAGTAGGCTAATAAAAAGGCGCCACCTAGGTCGCTTTTACAACATTTCAAAGGGCTTTTTACAGATTTACAATTTTTTTTTTAAATTTACAGATATGACACGCAGCTTGCGTTAATTATGAAATGTAGGAAAAAAATAATGTTTTCGGAAATGAAGGCATCTTTTGTTTTGGTGTAAATTAACACTAAACTGCCAGAAATGCACAGACGGTTTTCATATTAATATAAAAAGCCGGGTAATATAAATACTTTTAATACAAAGGATTTTTCTAAATTTAAGTTTAAAAAAAGTATTTTCGTGTTCCCACCCCACGAAGACTTGGGGTAAGAAGGACTTGTTTTTGAAACAAAATAAATGCTGTGACGCCAAACCCCCTCATGGAAGAGGATGGCGTCATGTTTACAACAACGACTGCTTTTCAGGATGAACTGACGTTGGATTTCTAAAAGAATGTGAAGTATGTAACTTCACATAATTCACATTATGTTAATTAATTCACATTAATTCACATAATTCACATTATGTTATTAAAGTTCAAGTAAAGAGTTTTACACACCGGACGTTTGTAGGGACATCGACGTTACATTTGCACACTCCTAAACATGACGCTGAACAAAACGAACAGTGATTGGTTGGTTTACATGTCAGTCAGACGCGGCATCTGGGTGTTCATTGGCCAATTAAAGCTGCAATGCTAGTCTGGCAACTGAAGTTCCAAAAGTTCGAGTTCAAATTAAGTAGTCTCTCTACATATAAAATAACAGGATTGCAGATACAGTTCTGATATTCCTGTGTATTTCAAATGTGCTTAGGCCACTTGGATACTTAGACTAGAGTTTGTTTTTGGTAATTTTACACTACCTATTCCTTAAATTATTGCAAGTAGCAGTTTTAACATTAAGGGTTCTAGTGATTTAATGTTGTTAGATCATGCTGATATAATTATGATTACACATTGTGATGGGATCATTTTCAGCTAGCCTAAATAAACTTGCGGTCAACCCCTGGAAATCACAAGTGAATGTAAACATTTGCACAGTAGGCTACTTATTAAATTGAGATTTCTGTGGGTTTTTCTTTGAGTTTCCTTCAGTGTTTAAGCTGACGGATGAAGAAATGGTCCAATGAATCTGGTGCTTTGAATAATTTGTATACTTATATATAGAAATTAAATGTAATAAACAGATCAGTTTGCACATCAAGATGCTATGGCAGTACTATGAGAGAAAAAAAAGTGGCATAATAAAAAATTAAAAAAGAATCTCAAAGCACACACATCCCGAAACATCCACATTATCAGAAATTAAGAGCTAACTCTAAACAGAATGAATTACGACTTTAATTAAAATGCTAAAATAATTGCTTCCTCTTGTATTTTTGGTTCAGCCCTGCACTCTGGCTGTGTTGTGTATTTTCTGAGGGCCATCTCAAGGCTGGCCAGAGACCCCATGCAGCTCCTGCTCTATGTACAAGAAGCAGCTTTGGCTGGAGATAATGAGGCTCCCCGCACGCTTTTCACAGTCAGTCCTGCTGCCTCTGAGGACTCGAGCCGCACGTGCAGTGGGTACAAAACCCCAGACCCCACATTCATCTTCGCCGGCCCCTCTGTATCTCCACTCTAATGGTCTGGACTCATCTGAAGGCCAAAGGTAATTTGATGCGCTCTGCAGTAATGAGGATGGTGTTGCTGACATCTGGCTCACTAAGGTGCAAGACGACAAGCGAGAGGATACAATGATGGATTACAAAAATACTGAGGACTGCAAAATAATACAGAGGAGAATCTTTTCTTGTACATGCAGAAAATCTAGTAGGCCTGGAACTCCCTTAAGCCATCGCAGGCCTTTGGCAAATAAGAAGGTCAAACCGTGAAGCCAACACTATGCATTGTTGTTCGACTTAGCTGGCAGATGCTCAAGCAAACATTTGGAACGTATTTGTTTGACAATCAGCAGGGTCCAAACGTCAGACATGGAAAAAAGAAAGCATTGCAGGTTGAAAATTAGAAACAAACGTTTGGAAATGACTTTTTGTGATTTAAAATGTCTACTATAAAAACCATTACATATTTTTTTGTATACAGACACTTTTATGTTGTGTAAAATTTATATCACAAAGAGGCCACATTCTATATATCATACACAATTGAATTAGTAAGAATCTTTACATGTAAATAATATTAAATGTTACATTACGTTAACTTTGACAGCCCTATATATATAATTTTATTTTACTTTACAAAACAATATGTTTGAGCACATTTCAATGTTATTTTACCTGTAAACTTTCACGCTGTGAACTAAAGGATAATCTTAAAACTTCTCACCCTTTTCTGGACTTCTTTAAACCATAGACACAGAAACAGGCCAAGAAGTATGTATGGGAACAAACTCTGAGAAGATTCAATACGACAAAAGTTCTCCCCTTCAAAAGAAGCTGGCTGAAACGGACATTTGCGAGCTCTCCTTTAAAGAATGACTAATTAAAAAGCAATTTCAGATGACAACAACCATGAGGAGGAAGGAAAGCAAGCCGACCTTTGACATGCTCTACATTATACCATGACTACAGGCAAGAGCCATTTACACATCAAAGCAGATTCTGATAAAAAACAGAGTACTAAACTTTCTAGACGCTGTGTTCATATGTTATCCTAACACAAGTATTATCAGCTTTACTGTGACTGAAAAGGGAGGTGGATGTGTAAAAGAAACCTTTTTGGGGTGCATTACTCTTTTTCTTTTTTTTTTTATGGTCCTACGCCTGATCAATCATTCAAGCATGATTGACCAAAACAAACAGTCCACATTCCTCTCTTTCAACAAGCTCAAACTCAACGGACAGAGACTATTTGTCCACCAAGAAAAGGATCAAACACTCATTGAATGTTAGGGTAAGGGATCTTTTTTATTGCAGGTTCTGCTGATTTATTTCTTGCTGCTGACTTCTATAGTGCCTTCAAAAACACGCTTAAGTTCATGTTGTGCACACAAATGTATTGGATGTAAAATCCTGTTCCTGCAGAATTCTGATCTAACACACTTATCTTTAATTATCAAGTTCTCAGTACCTGGATCAGTTTTGGAGCTGAACTTTGCAGGAAGGTAGATCTCCAGGAACAGCCCTGAGTTAGATGCTTAAAACATGACTACTCATGTTGCATAGAGGTTATTGGCTCTAATAAACTACATGATTCAACATTTTATAACAAAGCACTAAAAGGTTCAGTGAAAGCTGTAGAACTTTGAAATTTAATATCTGCCTTTGCATGCAATGAACTAAAGCACCACGGTTACTGTCAATGCATCACTTTCAAGTTTAACTCGAGGCACTCTACTACAAAGATGAAATTCAAGACTGCATGTGTAGATTCATTCTTTCAGCATTAGACATTTAAGGTGCGGCTTAATGTGAAATTGAAACAGCAATGTTGTTGTGTACTGCCACCTGGAGGAGGGTGTAGGAAAAAAAAGCTCTCTATCCTCTTTTAGTGATTCCTGACACTTTCGAGACATTCACAAGGAGTAAAAAGATGTATATTAATTAATGTAAAAATAACACAAACAAAAACCAGTATATAAACACAACAGACTAACTGTATATTTTCAGTCACATTGAGGCAGTTTATTGACCCAAGGACAAACTACAGTAATTTTTAAGCTCCTCAATTCCAATATTTCATTTTACAAATGAAATACTACTTGAATTTACTACATAAAAAAGGGGGGAAAACATGTTACAACGTCAAATTAGGATTTTTTGTTAAAAAAGCCCTGAAGAATAGAGCTACAAAAAGAATGATTAAACATAAGAGTTCATTTGGCTTCAATGAAATAATAACTTTACACAGGCACACGTCAACTTTCACAAAAAGAGGGGTGTCACAATAAGCTTCTCCAGGAATTTATCAGTTCAGAGAGTAAAGCCTGGAATGAGCTGCCAACAGACCACACAACACGGTGTGTGTGTGTGTGTGTGTGTATATATATATATATTCACAAATTCTTTTGTGTTCATTCATTTCACTGTCAGTCTAGCTCATTGAAACGTGCAAACATGGCCTTCCGAACTGCCTGCTTGTATGTGGCATGATTCCAGACGACGGGTTCCTTTTTCTTACGCTTTGATGAGAGAAACAAGAGGGAGAGAGCAGATGAAATCAATGACCCTCAACTGCCATAGCTCAAAACATCCTGTAGCTGTATAGACACTCACCTCAGTGGTTTCTAAACCCAAGCCTGGTCTCTCGCTGCCTTTATGACTGTCCCTGTAACACCACCACAATGTGCCACATGTCAATATTCAAGATATTAGGGTCCATATTAATGCCGAATTGAAATGAAATGTATTAGGATTCTGAAAAAAATCACAAACCTTGAGGTGCCGGCCCATGTGTTTTGCGGCTTTCTTCTTTTTGCTTCAGGTGAACCGTTCGACTCTTTAATTTTCATCTAAAAGACGAGTTCAAAATGAGAGTAAATCATTTCATTGCAGACTACTGTGAGAAAAGAATGAAAAATAAAATTGTAATTCAGTTAAATATTTCTTTTATAAGTCAATCAATGCTGACCTGAAAACTAGAAACAACAAATTATTCAGATGTGCATAACTGGCAAAGGGAAAAATGATACCTCTTTTTCCTGATTTTCTAGAGCCTCAAGTTCTCTCTTTGACCTTTTGATTTTTAGGTGAATCTCCATATTTTGCTAAAATACAGACAAGAACAATAAAGAGGTCAAAACCTCACCCCCAAGTTTTTAATAATCACATTACGTCAACAGTCCTCAAAGACTATACAAGTTTTAGTGAGAGATTTGTTACCTTATGCAGGTCTGAGAGCTGCTGATGGCGGAGTAGAGCGTCTTTATTAGGGAACTGCCTCCTGCACAGAAGGCACGCCATCTTCTTCCAGTCCGTCAACCTGTCCTCCTTCTCGTCCGCCTGCGGCTGACTCTTTGTGGGTCGTGAAGCTTCTTGTTTCTCATGTTTCTCTTCTTCCTCGTCGTCGCTGCCTGCCCCGTAGTCGGCCGCCAACATGCCGAGAGAGCCCATGGGCCGCTGCCAACACACAGAGGGAGAGGGGGGAGTTTTGCTTTGATCCACAATGACAGTTAGTGTAAATCTGTTTTAGTGTGGGTTATCAAATAACCTTCATCAATCAGTGTCAAGGTGATGTGCTTTCAGCTGTTTGGGAAAACTGAGTCTGAGGCCCCGTCAACACTACTGCGTTTTCGTTTAAAAATGGAGAATTAAAACGAATACGTTCTCCGTCCACACCAGATTCAATTTCAATCTGCGTATTAGAATTGATCTCCGTGAAAATGCGGATCACGTGACATTCACCAACACTGGGTAAGCACGTGCTGGAGTAAACAGGAAATGGATTGACTATTCCTCAGATTTGGGGACAGGTCATGTGAAGGGTGGCTGACGAATCAGGGAACGACACGTCATGACTGACACCCAATCATAGAGCCGAGCGTGAGCCTCTGCGTCATCGTTTCTAAAGTCCCCCGTTTTGTCCCGTCTTCACTAAAACACCCTCCGGAGAATCAAAAAGCAAAACGGAGCTGTAGCGTTTCTAAACTTCTCCGTTTTAGGCATTCGGTTTTTCCGTTTTAGTGTGGACGGGAGGTGCAAACGTAGCCAAAAGGTCAGTAGTGTTGACAGGGCCTGAATCCATGAAGTTTGTTTGTGTGCATGTTAATGCATGTTGTTGATACTAAGACTGTAAACTCTCACCTTTGATGATTTTTCATCTTTTTGTTTTGGAGGAGCAAGAGGTTTCTTAAATAATTCATCTGCGCCAGAGACCTACATGAATAAGGGAGCAGTATGGAAGAATAACAGATAAAAGATTAAAATAAAGATTTAAACTTAGCTAAAGTTTATAAGGTGGTTATAGACCTATGACTGATTGATAGAATCAGACAGTGTAAACAGACAATTTACTGAATTTTAAAAACAAGTATCTGGCCTATAGCATTTCCATTCTTTATGAACGAGGATGCTAAAACATGCAGGTGAAAACAGATGAGCAAGGATTGAAGAGAAAATGCAGCATTTTAAAATGCAGTCCATTTAAATCATTTATGGGACATTGCAACACACAATACTCTATAAGACTAAAAATACCATGTTAGAATATTTTTGCTGACATAAAAAATAAACATGCAACATACAACCCAATCGGTTTAAGTGAAAGGCAATGATTATTTTTTGCACAACCTCTGGAAAGAGTAATGAGAAACACTGCATTTTTTTTTTTTTATTGAATAAAAAGTGGTTTGTGGCATGGCATCTTTAGAACTCTGCATTCTAAACACTTACGTTTTTTTGATCCATCTATTTAATAAATGCACTTCAATGAATGACATTTTATAACACATTTAATTCAACTACTCAGATAATGTCAATGGTATGTATGACCTATTTCAGGGGTGGGTTTTCCAAAAATTACGATTTAAAAACAGACAGAGCTAGAAATCGAAATCACAAACAGTCTGTGCCAAAGATATTTTATTTAGTATGTAAGGTTTGAGGTCCTTAACTCCGATTGAGCCATAGCAACATGAATACTGCCTGAGCAGAGTCACCATAACTTATTTACAAAATATTTGTATGGGCAGGAGAAAAATACAGAATAAAAAGGGTTCTCTGACCTTTCTTTCAAAGATGGCGAAGGCTGCATCAGCAGCCTTTGAAGGCCTTTGGTCATCTCCAGACTTGAAGAGAGGTGAAGGGGCTCGTACGGTTTCTTTCTGCCTGTTCTGGATTTTCGCCCATCGTTCCATGTCTTTCATTATCTGATAATCAGATCCAAAATTACCACACAGATCTAACAGTGATTTCTAAGGGGCAGAACATGTGATGCAACACAAGTGATGTTAATACCTTAAAAGCTGCTAAACTTCTGGGCTTTTCCTCCTTTTCCTTCTCTTTTTTTTCTGCACGTGGGGAAGGTTCCTCGTCCGCCCGCACCTCTGCCCCAGGCTCTGCAGCCGCCTCTGGAACAACCTTCACCTCCTCCTCAGTGATGGGCGTGGCTATAACCTCAGCAACAGTTGCCACGGGAACACCAACTTCAGGGGGTGGCTCGTGAACATCAGTGGAAGAGCTCTGGACTGGGACGTAGGTTTTTGTGGCACTATCCCAGTACAGGTACTGTTGATTCTGAGCATCGTAGAAATACTACACAAGCAAAAATAAACATTACGTCATTGTACATTGTATTTGATTCAAATTACACATTTAGGAGAAATAAAGGGCTATTTCCTGTATTTACCCTTGAGTTGGGATCATAGTACAGGGTAGTCAGGGGGTCATAGTAGAAGCCTGATGTAGCATCATAAAGGAAGGCTGATAAATCAGGAGCCTCAGATCCTGCAATAACAGGAGCACAATTATAAGATGAAACTTCAACTAGGGCAAGTGAATACTGTAAATATACATCTATGCACAGTATTTTGAACATTATTGAATATTATAATTTACTGTGCCTATTATGCATCAAGTTTCTTAAAGACCACAACATTGGTATGGAATACATGTTCAATTAATTTAGTTTCACCTGTATGCTTTATTAAATCAATTCAAAACTCTGATACAACTCTGGATTTGAATCATTGCTTTAAAAAAACCCTGAAAAAAAACAAAAAACTAAACTTTAAAAAAAAATTTTTTTTTAAATTAATTAAGTAATAATAATAAAAATAATGATAAAATATTGTGTATTATGATGTAATGCTTTAATTGTACATTCATTTATAAACAAAACTGACAGCTCCCTCCATTGACAGCAATGCAACTACCACTTTGACGCTTCAAAAAGTTCATAAAGAGATTGTAAAACTATGAATCGAGAGGTTTAGGCTAAAGCCTACATTCAATCAGTTCATTATATAAAGTGATTGTGTCTCTTCAGAAAATTTGGACTAAACCACTAATTTCATATGGGTTAGTTGTACAATCTCTTATGAAATTTTTGAAGCCTCAAAATGGTAGTCGCCTAGCTGTCAATGGAGAGTAAAGAGTTGACACAGGTTTAATAAAGAATATCTTCATTTGTATTCCGAAGATGAACAAAAGGTTTATGGGTTTGGAACAACATGAGGGCGAGTGACAATTTAAATTTTTGGGTGAACTAACCCTTTTAGCCAAATAATATACTTATAGCATTATATAATTACTGTAAAAAGGCTGAAGAGAAATAACATAAGATAGCAACCCATACCCCTTCACCCAAATGTTTTAGGGCAATAAACATTATATTAACAAAAGAGTACCAAAAAGTACCAACAAATTAATGCCATTGGCAAACAAAGAGTTCCTAAACGCTCCACAAAACCGGTTAACCTTTAAACTGAACAGTGCCATACCGTAGCTGTAGCCGTCAATGTTGTCTGCAGCTCCAGGGAGAGCGTCAGATAAAGCTGCAGTCTGGTGCTCCGCTGTCTGGACTGACTGCACCATTCCTGTTGTCTCAGAATACATCACACCCTGTGCAAGACAGAGTCAGTTACAGTCCAAAACCCAATCTTTCCTGGCTTAAATTGGCCACCCTGTCTCACAAATATGCTAGTATAACAAGAAAATCACCTGTGTAAAGCTTGAACTCTGCATTGCAGCTGATGACAATGTGACATCCGCTCCCATTGGGTCACCTGCAGAGATTCCCACATCTAAATATACTATGCAACAATCAATTTCAAAACCATAATGAAAACGGAAAGAACATATACCTTGTAAAGCTGGTGCAACACCCATAGTCGTATGAGAAGGCGGAGGATAATATTGCTGCCGTGGCGGCGGATATTGATGTTGCTAGAAAAAGAAAAATTATAAATTAAAACTTTAATACAAGATATTCAATGAGGAGATGGACTGTTCACGCAACGTTAAAGCACACTAGATGGAAGTGAACTCCGACCATCTGATATATATGTAGCTATTTTTCAGCATCTCACGCAATGGGTGCTATGTTTGTAAAATGTTGTATCAAGTTAAAGAAAGCTCCTCAAACGTAAAAAAAAAAAAAAGTCTAGCTGTCTTGTTCTTTAACAACTAATGTTATGCATAAAAATGTCCTACCATCATAACATCTGGAGGGAATCCCAGGAGAGAAGTGTTTGACTTATCATTGTCTCTCCTATAGCTGCAGTCAAAAGTCAAACAATAACATCAATTCACATCACAAATTTCTTGGCTTATGATTTATGAAATGTTTCCTCAACCAGAATATCCATAAAATATTCTTTCATTACTTTCATATATTCCAGCAAAGATGAGACTTACTTCTGATTTTTTAAAGGCTTGGCAACCTCAGCATAAACTCTGACTCCATCTATCATGATAGTGCGTGGTTTGGTGAGGAGCTCCACCAATCGTGTCACATGCTGTATATAAAAGTTAGTGTTACAGTTTCTAATAGACCAACCAACACCCTTGAGCTTTTAAAGATATAATATTATATAGGGATGCACCGATCCGATACCCATTATGGAAGCATCGGCTCCGATACTGCCATACTGCAGCGTAAGTTATATATTTCTAACAATTAGCTACTGAACCAGCTTATAAAATCTTATTCAAGGCTGTGCTGGTTGCATTTGAGGTACAGGTCATGGGGTTTCTCAGATTTCGCTTGAGACCGGTAAGCATTAGCCCTCGATAGTAGTCGTCTCTCCATTGCGTATTTTCATATTTAGAATGCATCTCTCCACTGCACTACTCTAACCCCTTTAGCCTCAATCTGTAGGATATCTCTGAGGTATTGCTCCACAAAGCGTCACTGACACGCACGGGTATACCTCTTCCCGTCATGGCAATCTGTCATGCTGGTCGTGTTTGACGGGCGTAGTAACAATAATTAGGGGGCGTGGCTTTTGCGAACGATCAATTGAAGCCTTTCTTATCATAATACAGTGACCCAATGAAAGATTATCAATAGCCTTTCTAGTTCTGTCCTATCCATCATATGTTGCTGCCTCATTAAACGGCTGTGCTATACATTTAAAACATGTCTCAATTTTATAGTAGCCTAAGGCGATATCTAAAATAATTTATCTTTTTGATTTTTGTTATGTTGTTTTACATGAACGTATTTTACAACAATTTTGTTCCCCACTAAATGTTTTTTTTACTAAATGTTCAGATTTTATACAATGATTGTTCACTCATGATTTATTGCTAGACTTAATTTTACTGCAGAATTATCCACTAATCTAGTTTATAATAGCATTTTTGTCAGATTGTGATCATATATTTTTTGGATTTGTTGTTTATTTCTTTATAATGAAGTTGTCTGTATTAAGTAGATTGTGTTTAAAGCACAAAAGAGTGATTATCAGTTCAACACACAGAGTTATAGAAATTCTACTTGATTAAAAAAAACTGTGCTGGTATCAAATCGGTAATTTTCGGTATCGGATCGATCGGAGCATCCCTAATATTATAGTTAGCACCATAATATTGTATGAAGGAATAATATACCTCATGCGAATCCATATCAACAAAGCAGAAGCATTTGGATCCAGGTGACTTCCCTTTAACCAGACGTACATTGCGCTCATCCAGGTACGCAAATGGATCGAGTGCTTGTAAAATGGTCTCCACGGTGGTAGTGGGCAAAATGTTCTTAATAATCATAGCTATAAAGAAACATAACTTTAGAACAATCTGCCACCTTTTATTCATTTTTTCTATTATTTTAGAAAATGTCATTCACAATTGACCACTTACTCTTACTCTCCTTGAAGATTGGATCAGAGTGTTGCAAGTTTTGTCGTGATGCTCTCTGATTGGTCCATTCCTCAGTCTGATGCTCCACCTCCTGCTGTTGTAGCTGCTGGTCCACTTGCTGTTGCCATGCTTCCGGAGTCAAGTTGGAGCTTCTCTGCCACACACCTTGAGATCCACCGGGATCCTGCACAGGTTCAGCATCGGTTTCCTGCTTTATATTCGGTGGCAAGACTGGATTTGGTAACAAACCGTCATCACTGGCTGGAGCAGCTTTAGTTGGTGGTTCATGATACTGCAATCCAAATTACATTATTATATTTAAGGATTTCAATGGATGAGTTGCATCATGGTTAAAATCAATACAAATCTCTACCATATAAAAACAAAGCTTTACCAAAAAGAAAAACTCACCTGTTCTTTCACATTTTTGTCAGGCTGGATATATTTGAGCAGAGCAGTCTTGTCACCAACCTTAACAGATCCCTAGAAAACAGTAATAAAGTATTTTAATGCTAATTTATTGACATCTTCCCCAAAAAAACAACCCAACTTAAAGAAAAGGTATTTCCAAAAATGTCCAGCAAACCTATTTGAGGCCATAAAAACAGGCAGGTCTGATCTGGGCTTTGCTTATACCCAGGGTTTGGACTAAAATATGCATTTATCTGCCTATTTAAAACAGACACTACAATGTGAACATTTTTAAGTATACCGGTAGTGAAATCTTTCTGTGGTTATATATGGTTTGTGTACTAAAACCTTAATGTGAACGCTTACTATATACGAATGTCAAACTATAACTAGAAGCAGATCCACTGCACATTAGTCATCTGTAAACAGGACTAATAAAGAGAAAAGTGCACTTCTTGCAAGTGTGCAGACAGATAGCAGGGGAGAAACTTGCAAAAGTTAACCACTAGTACACAATTCACTTTAATAATGGGTTGGATGGCCACATAATTTAACTTGGTGAAAATGGCTCAAAACAACAGTGACATTCTATATACACTAGGCCATCAACCTTTCACCTATTAAATCACATACATTCAAGCGGTTTATAAATAGGGTTTTAAAAGACAGTCCATAAAATGGCTGGCCCATCGGGGAAAAGTCCCACTACTCCCTATTGTCGCCAGTTCATGCCTGATCAAAGAAAAATACTGTTTATGGACAAATCTTTAAATAGCTCTTCAGATTTTAGGTTGAAAGATCATTCTAGGTAAGTGACCTAACGGTGTTATGTGATCAGCGTTTTATCATCTTACCCACCATCTTGCTGGACCAATGTCCCAGTGATTCGTTGTAGTTTTTTTTTTTTGTGTGCATCAAGTACATAAAAGTTTTTTTTTTTTTTTTTTTAAGTTATCCTGCTAGCTGGCCAGCAGAGAAATAGTTTCAGAAGAAACAAGAACCCTGAGCAAAATTCTTTTCTGAAAGGTACTTTGGCAGACATATAACAAAAATGGGGGAAATCATATGCTGCTACAACCAGAACAACTCACAGGGAATTCAAGTTTCAGCACAACGGCCAAAAAGCTTTCAACACAAACCCAAGCAAACTTTAGTTTTTGTACTCGCCTTATATTCACTGTAAAAGTTTCATTAGAAACGCGGAAATACTACTACCCACAAGTCTTTGATTTTCCAAGTCTAAAATGTCCAGAAAAACATCAGCATGGATCTCTACACATCCAGATACACAACAACCATGAAGCCAGTCAAGCTGGAGTAAGCAGGAATGGAAAGAACAAGTTTGTTGTGCTGGATGAGATAAGATGCCCAAACTCAAGATGATGAAATCACAATCCAGGCAAAGAGGAATAAAAGCAGAACCAAAGAGCACATTTCTGGAACTCCATAACTCTGGACGATAAGTGTTGACACAGAACAAGCATAATACGGACTCTGCCGCTGTGTGCATAAAGCTTCACATACAATCGTAGAACAACCTATTAATCAAAAATGTCAAACCACTTTCCCTTTGAGTCAGCAAAATATGGCAATCTACAGAAGGAAGCTACAACACCGAAATCTTGAAAATCCAACGTTGAATCATTGTAATCTAAGAAAATTCAGGAGGCCCCAAGCGGAATGCATAATTTTGCTTCATTACCACTTCAGAATGTGGCAGTGGGAGCAAGTAAAAAGTGATAAGATCCTTGACAAGTTGGACAAATGAGGGGAAAAAAAATATTATCTGGTTGAAAGGAATATCAAGAGTTGAAGAAATGGTTGCTGCACAACTTGCTGCACATATGGACATCCAATTCCAAACTCGATATGCAGTGTAACTACTCATTAAACTATTTCTGTGTGAAGAGTTAAAAGCAAGTACTCAGCTAATACGCCTATGACAATAAAAGAACATTGGATTCCTTAACACTACACTCACTGGCTACGTCTGAAAATTAATGTTGCGAACTAAGTGGCGTGTTTTAATTGGTCATGGTTAATGAGTGGGGAAGGTCTTTTCTTGAAGGTCTCCCATCTACCCCATTCCCACCCCACCTCCCCAGGCCCAAGCCTTCTTCCTGTTAGCAGACAGAGCCGTTGGATGAGGACGAGGATGGGCCACCTTGTTGGATTCCATGAAGTGGACAGCATCCTCGAGGTTTAAAAACTCCACATAGGCCATATCGTAGCTGTAACCTGGGAACAGCATTTGAAATACAGATGGGTTTGCGTTAGTTAATGCAGGTAAATAGGAATTTTCAAGAGAAAATAAGCAGTGGTTCGTTTCACGAAACATGTCAAAGCGAATTCATACAGGATGTCTTTTGCCTTATTTGGCACATTTTATTTCATTAGCAACTTTGCTTTTAATTGTTTGAAGTCAGTGACAAAGAATCAGAGCAGCCTCAACTCAGAGACACTTCAGAGCCCAAGATATACATTTATAATAAATAAATAAATAGAAAAATGAGAACCAACGTGTAAAAGAGAACTTAACACTACAGTGACTAAAACTGAGTTGCTAGTAAATGTCTAATCACATTACACCTAAAACACATCGTCAAAGACCCACATGCAACAGCAACAAAGTTGCTACAGTTTGAACAATTAAAAAATAAATGTTAATAAAGCAAAGATATGCATGGGACCACATGGAATATATTAGATCTTTAAAAAACTGATTTATTAGATTATGAATACAATTATGGTGGGGGAAAAAGAAGACACTATTCACTAATAATTAATTGAAGTTCAAGGGATGCCATGGCTAGAACATGATGTCATGTTAACATCACTGCAAGTTTAAAAAAATGAAAGATAATGTAATTAAATGCAGTAATAAAAAAAACCCATAACATTTGTAGTCATTTATGATGCCTGGATAAGAATTATTTAATAGCATTTTACAGAAATGGAAGATTCTTCTAGTTAAAGAAATAATTTTGAACTATGCCAAGATGTAAAATTTTAATGACTACAGATTTATTATAATTAATTTATTAATTATCAAAAATGTGTATTCCCAGCCTTATATTTTTAAGGTTTGCAGGGAACACTGAACAGCATATTGGTATATTGGATACAGTCTTTTGTGGAGTAAGGAAACTATTCTGGCATACTGAAAAACCACTGAAACCTTTGTCAAACGAACCCAAAGAAGAGCATTTTGCAGCAACACTTCGTAGGGCTGGTTGGTATCGTCACAAAGTAGGGATGGTTGGTATTTGCGTTTCGACAGTTATTGACTTGTTTATAAAGAGATCTGTGTTTAAGAAATTCCAAATTCCCTCCAAACGCATACCACCTTAAAGATGGAAGCTGCTCAGAGAAAAATTCAACCTCCCGCACAAGAACATGGGGAAAGGGGACAACAAGAGATCCTGTAGCATGTTCGGAATACTGATGAGGATTTCTTTAGAAAGCAAAAGCGACAAATGCAGAAAGTACAATCGATGTAAAAGAGACAGTGAGCGTAAGAGTCGGAGAGCGAATAGCGAAATGTGGTTGCGAACTGGTCAACAATGTTTACAATGAACAAAATCTCACCTGGCACGACGTCCTTTATTTTCATGCCCTGCATTGGCACTCCATCACGAACTGCGAAAGCATCCAAAATCTATGAAATAAAAAATAATAATAATTAAGAGTAAATACAAAGAATGCTACTGACAGATTTAAAGACAAAAACACTTCATTTGACAATCATTTCAGTAATTTGTCATGTTTTTTTTTTTAAAATCTATTAAGAACTATTTTTCTAAAAATTGTATGAAAATTATCTGTCTGAATAATAAAATCTAAGTTGCTCACCTGCTGCATTGTGGCAGTTTTAGGAATTCCAGAGATGGAAATGGTTTTTGAGACTTTTTCCTGGACACCTGCACTCCTGTAATCCTGGTCCTTTTAAAATTCACAGCAGTTTAAATATTCTGATGATTAACAAGACTTCAATTTCTAATAGTAGCACGTCTGAATGTACATTAAGTTTTAAATAATCATTTACGTAAGACATGAAAAGACATGTTATATTATCCATTATATGTCATATTAATTACCATATGTCACAAGTATTAGTTGGAGTAGAAATCTATTTTCTTGTTTTCCATTAAATAAAAAAAAAAAAAAAAAAATCCAACCTGGGAACCAGAGTCATCTGGTCTTTGAGCTGGACCTAGTTTGGATTCCTTGACATCTCTCTCTGGGGCTTGAAGATCCCCAAGATTGTAGTCGTATTTGCGCCCCGATCCAGTGCGGTAATCAATGTCTCTATAATCCTGATCCTGTCTCTCACCTCGATTACCCTGGTTTTCCTTTGGCCCAGACACCAAGCTTTCTCTCGGTGGTCCCTGATCTGAAGCAATGTCACTGGATCCCTTAAAGGGCACATGATCACTTGCGAAATGATGCTCTTGTTTTAGCGGGTTCTTGTCTTGGAAATATGGAGGTCTACTTCCTGCTGGTGCAGTTCTGTCAGGCTTTTCGTCTCGGTCACTTGGCCAGGGTTTATCACCTTCTCTAATTGGGGCGTTTAGAGCGGGATCAATTGGAAGAAGACCTGGCTTTGGAGTTGTATCTCTGGCTGGGAAATCACTAGGAATATTTTTGTCCCAGTTTTGTAGTTTGGAGTCTCTTTCTGATCGATTAAAACCTGTTTCGTCTTTTCCAAGAAACCCAGACTGCCTGTCTCGGTCTCTGTCCTTGAACTGAGACCGATCTCCAAGATCTACATCTTTTCCACGGCTAGAGAAAAACTTATCTGGCATCTCTCTCTGGAAAAGTGGCGGCGTTCTGCCCATCATCGGTGGAAGAGTCTCTCGGTCCCTCACGCCATGGCTGCGCCACTCGTCTGAGAGTGAATCACTTTCTCTTCCCCTGAAGCCCATGGGGCTGTCAATCGCCTCTGGGAATTCTCTATCTCTGAGGGTCAACTCGTCGGATCTGATCATGGATTCTGGGCCACCACGGCCCAAAGGCATATCAGGTCTTCCTCTGATATCCATGGGAACACCATCATTGTCCCGAAACATTGGAGCAGGCTGGTCCCTAAAATCATTGGAGGATCCCATGCGGTTTCTCATATCCATGTCAGATTCAAACCTTCCTCTTGGATTAAGTGGAGGTGTCACACCACGTCTTTCAAAATCCATCATCGGTCTGTCTCTGGAGGGCATGTCCATGTTGAATCCATCAATGCCACCCATTCGTGACCTTTCCCTATCTCTCATGTCCCCAATATCTCCATTTCCACCCATAGCCACCATAGCAAGTCTCCTCCTAATGTCAATGGGGGGAAGCCCAGGCATATCCATTTGGAATCTCTCCCTCTCCCTCATGTTCATGAATCCGTCCTCCGGCCCCCTCATATTACCACCTTGCATGTCTCTGTTGCCCATATCCATTGGTGGTCTGGATTGACCCATAAAGCCTGGAGAATTCTGAAGGTTGTTTCTCTGATCCATTTCAAAGCGTCTTCGAAAATTCATGTCCATTTCATCTCCAGGCCTGAAAAATTCTCGGGAAGGCTCTCTTCCTCGCTCATGAAGACCCATATCTCTTCCTCGCATATCGGGTGGGCAGTCGAACCGCCTCATGTCCATGGGTGACCTGCCCATGTTCATGCCATCTCTACCTCTGAAGTCTGGTATTGGGCCATCTCTACCTTCAAACATGCCTCCACGAGGTTCCCCACTGCAATAAAATCAGATGCATTAGTGCAACCTTTCAATCTTTTACTTTTTCTCAAAACATAAACTGACTCACAAAGATGTAATTCATCACATTAACAATGTACATTTTCCAAAACCAGAAATTGTCCAAATAATTTGACAGATAGTATATCTAAATATAGATATACATGGTATAAATAAATATAATGAATACAAATAAAATGAATATTATATGATTATCATCTTAACAGTAAAAGGACTGAAAAATTATGTTTTTCTGTCCTCTTGAAATTATAATTGTGACTTTTTAATACCATTCAAGATAAGCCGTTTATTATACAACCTAAATTTAAGACTTATGACTAAATTTAAGGCCCACAGTTATTGGTTCTTAATGTGTTTTGGTTTATTTCTTAAAATGTTTCTTACATCATATGGAAAAATGTGCAAGTTTGGATTTTTGTGTTTGTTTATGCAATACCCACTGACAGCAATTCGTATCAGATGCAATACGTTTTAGCAATTTCTAACAGAAATTTTAAGTTTTATGTCCCGACAGTATACAATAAACAACCAATAGAACGCAACAATTGATGACATACTCTTGTTTGTTAGAGCATCTCATGAAGTGTACTTGATTTAAGATACCTTACCGAAAGGGCATTCCTCCTCGTGGTCCAGGTCTTGAACCGTTCCACATTGTGTTCCTCCTCTCCTTGAAACTTTCCCTTCAGCACGAGTTTTGCGTGGAGAACGTCGTTTCACTTGGGAAATAAATAATAGAACTGATAATGAAAGCTCAAGTAATTTGTCATGTCACATAACGTCCGATTTTCTGATATCCTGTCATTGAAGTCATAACTTAAAGCATTTCATTAACTATTAAACGTTCTAGAAGGCAAATGCATAGCAACACGACGAGGTCTTATGAAAACCGTTTTGATGTAACGTTAACGTTAATTTTTCAGGATTGGGAATTTGGAATTGAGTTTCAGACTGAAAAGCAAGTAACGTTACGTTGTCAAACCCTCATGCTAACACAGTAAGTCGGACTAACGTTATTTCGAGTAACGTTACCTAAAAGCGCTGAGGTTAAACTAGATGTCGAACACATCGTTGTGTGAGAATAACGTTAATACACATGAGCAGCATGTCAAAATACTAGTTTGAGAACTCAAATATGTATTAATAAGAAGGCATGTTAGCCTATTTCTTCATTCATTTCACAAACCCGCCCTCATAAAAGAACGCTAACCTGCTAACTTTAGCTTTCAGTCAAGACATTTTCTTCATATCACGTGGATATGGGCGAATTAAACAACGTTTTTTTTAATCTATCATTATTTTACAAAATGCAACCACTAAAAGGTGCAAATGTCTTCTCCTAAACGTCTGTAAAACACTTTAAGACGTCTCACCTAGCTTGTTGTGTTCTTTCCGCGGGGTCCTTGGGTTTACGGGTTTACCGACAAAAAAGACGGAAGAGTGCACACTCAGTTTCCGGTGAATGAGGGCTTATGGGAGTTGTAGTTTTAAAAACAAAAACAAGATGAGTTATTTTGTGAAAGTACCGGTAGTTCACTGCAAATGTAATGGATATCTGTCTGCCTGTCAAAAAAAAGTATATTATATATGGATTACAACTGCCATAATAATACACATTCACAACTGTACACAATAGCCTAACAATTGCAATCAGAGGACACCGGTAGGCCTACAGTTTTATTTGCAAAATGTTTTGTTTAAATTTAGTAGGCATACTAGACCAGAAATAAGAAGCACCATGGATACTTACACTGTCCAAAAACATTTATTCTGCATATCGAGAGTAACAAAATACAGAAGCCACAAATAAACAGTGACAAATACTTTAGGCTGTGCTGATACATGAAAATCCAAATCACATTCACACATTAAGTTTACGATCACTTATTTAGCTGCTCTGCCTTCTCTTACGAAAACTTTTCTCAGAAAATATATTTCAATGTTTACAGAGCCTGCAGTCAGTGCATCCTAAAAAGGAAAACATAAACAGGAAAAAAAATTGATCTGAGGTCAAACTATTGCACATAGAGGTCAAACAAAATGTACGTCCTTACATTACCTTTTACATTACGGAGATAACACTAACAGATACAACTCAGTGAAGCTATATACAATGAGGAGTATATTTAGCAAATGATTCAAAGTAAACATGTGATTGTGATCACCATGAGGTCATGCCAAAGACAGTTAAGTAAAACTAACAACATTAAACAAATAAATAGGCAATAATGGACAGTAGCTACAGTGGGATTTGCAGTTTAAAGACATTTTGTTTCATTTCTCTCCACATGGACAGTAAAAATAAAGTGTGGATTTGGCAGAATACATTATCTGGACATAATATACATAGCTATAAGATCATGTCGAGAACACAAATGACCATCAAGAGCAAATTGCTTGGCTACCTGTATGTAATATGGCAGGAACATCTTATCACCTGTATAGCAGTTTCACAGTATTACAGCAATATTCATATTGCTTCATTTGTACTGCACATTTACAGAACGTTCTGGAAACCATAGTCCTCAATGTATTTAAGACTTAATGACACCAGTTGCATTCTATATAATATATGCAGTGCTCTTCGGAATACAGATATAAGGGCAGATTGAATAAAAAGAGCTACATAATTTCTTGTAGGATTGTACAGCGAAAGAAAAAGAAACATGATTCAGCAGTACAAAAAACCCCAAATAATATTATATTGATATGATAGTATTGATAATAACATTATGATGTGTACATTAATGAAGTACAGCAGTTTTAGTAGCTAGTTAGCTGATATTGTGATGCAGAATATTGATACGAATTGTAATTCAGCAGCTGTGCTCTTCTGCGTCAAACAGACAATTGGAGAATATGAAAGTCTACATCAAAGTCCATTTTTTTCATAAATATACATAAAGCATAATATATATTTTATTTGTGTTTGAGGGCATTATCTTCTATAATGGTTTTAAGATTAATCTCATTAGATTGTATTTATAAAAAATAAATAAAAAAAAGTTGCAGTGTGCAATGTGGGGAAAACAAAGGTCTATAACATATAGTTTTCCACTTGCAAGTTTCAGGTATAACAGATAAAGCTTACAAAAATAACCACATAAACCGAATTTAACACATAAACTTAAAACTAAGAACCAAACAAATAAACTGTAACGGCAGCAAAGGTTTGAAGGAGGAATTTTTGAATTGGTTTGAATTAACAATAGCAAGTTTTGGAAATTGAATCAGTGTGTATTATTCAAGAAGTAACAAATAGTATTTCTTTGATAAATCTATTTAAGAAAATACAGACAGACTACTATGGATCTGGGATTTACATTTTAAATTCTTTGTAGATTACAGCATTTTGCACAAATGAAAATGTAAAATGGCGATCAAGCTTCTAAGCACAACTGAACTTTTGTTCCACCAATAGATTTCAATATGGCGCTGCTCTATTTGTCACTATATTTCTCTTAATGTATTCATCCAGCATTCTATTCATCCCTAGTCTCCCTACTAACGCTGCTGGGATGTCAACATCTCTCCATTGCACCGTGTTGGAGCTGATGCCTCCTGCCCCTGGGACTCGGGGTGATCTTGGCCAACCAGGGTGCTGTGGGGAGGCTCTGGTGTGGCAGCCGGGGGAAGTGGGGTAGTGCTGGGGGTAACAGGGCCTCCTGAGGCTCCCAGTGCAGGACTAGAGGCTCCAGAGTCACTCTGATCTGGAGCCCTGAGTCTCTTCATCATGGTGGTCACACGAACAGCTTTCTGTATAACAATGATAATAATGTTTTAATAAACGTTTTAACAAATAATAATAATATTAATTATTCATCAATAAAAACGTCTTTTTACTACGTAAACCCAATCAAATTTTTCGTACACTGTAAAAATATATTGTTGGTTTAACTTAAGAAATTAAGTAACCTGGTTGCCTTAAAATTTTAAGTTGATTGAAATGGAAAAGGTGAGTTAATACAATGAAGGAGATTGATTTAATCATCAGAAACTCAAAATAATAAGTTATCTGAACTAAATAAATTATTTAAGTTGATTTGACAAAAGAAAAAATGTTGCGATAACAAATCTTGAAAATATTTTTTAACAGTGTATACACTAGTCTTATACTATACTGTAACATTATAAATGCTTTTACTGTCTCTTATATTGAATAATTTATCCAATGCTTGCTGAATAAAAGGATTAATTTCTTGAAAAAAAAAGTTTTACTGACCCCAAACTTTTGTATTAAGATCATCTTACCTTCCATTTAGCTTTAGCAAAGTTTTTCTCGATCTGAGCACAAACGCCGTCTTTAATATTCTTGTCTGAGGCAGCATTTCCAGATATCCTAAACAACAAACACAGACACACACAAAAACACAGCAGTTATTTTTTTTAAACAATACTGCAAAGATTAATTATAAAAGGGTAACACTTTAAAATAAGGTTCATTAGTTAACATTATTTAACATGAACTAAGAATGAACAATACGTCTACAGCATTTATTAATCTTAGTTAATATCAATTTCAACATTTAATAATACGTTATTAAAATCAAAGGATGCATTTGTTAACATTAGTTAATACACTGTGAACTAACATGAACAAACAATGAACAGCTGAATTTGTATTAACCAACATCAACAAAGGTTAATAAATACTGTACCATTGTTAGTTAATCCTATAAAAGACACTGGAAAAAGCTCCTTACCACTCATGGTTGATGGCTTCCTGTGCAGTCAGTCTTTGGTCCTGGTCCACATCCATTAAACATGCAACTAGGCTTTTTGCTGCAATTCAGATAGCTAAGTTGAATGTGTGTTTTGATCACAAACCTATAGATTCATTCCAAACATACTGTACAGTGATTTGACTATTGTACCTGAATCTGAGATGTCATCCCAATAGGGCGAATCAAACTCGTATTCTCCAGACAGAATTTTCCGGAACAAGTTCTTATCGTGATTATCATATTCATCATCATCTGTCTCATCATAAAAAGGTGGGTTTCCTGACAGTCTGTTGAAAATTATGATATGACCAGAGTGTTAAAATTTCCTAGGGCAAGAAGATAATTAGAACTGTAGCATTAAATGAGCAACACACTTACAGAGTGGCAATGGATCATCTAACACTAAATTTGTCCGTTTCTCAATACCAAGTATGCAAACTTCGGACATGCGTCCTTGGTAGTACGGACTTGCCAAGTTCGACTCAGGAGAACGAACTCCAGAGGACGAGAGGACGCAAGTCCGGTTGTTCAGCAAATGGAACTGCATGTTCTTGATCGCGTCACTCGATCAGCACGCTCTGACTACTCCAGTTATCGCTTTATGTACATTTTAGGCAAAAATAAAACAAAATATGCTACAACTCTGCCTTTTTTTTGTCAACAATAAAACAAAATATGTTATAAAACACCACTCTGCCTCTTTTCATTAAAAAAAATCTAGTATATAAAAGTAAAATAAAATTACACAACCCTGTCTGTTTTTGTTAAATGTCAGTTTTAATGATCAATAATATCTAGCCTAAAAGGTGTGGAAGCTATAATGAGAAATAAGGCAAACAATTAAAACATAAGTAAGCTCTCTAATAGGCTACAAAGTTAAAGTTAAATAGCGTAAATATATAAAGTTATGAAACTTCCCTTTGCCCTCAGCCAAAACGATTTTTTTTTGCCATTGAACAAACTATAGTTTTATGAGACCAAAGATAGACTTATACACAAGACGAATTATACGTTTATCCACTAGACTAGAGACATCAGAGTCAACAGAAGCACTAGCCGAGGTAAAGCTGTTCCAGTCGGGGTTGATGAACGCTTGGATGAACTCGGAAAACGTCAGATACATTTTTCAAATGGGGGCTATCTTTATAAATAAAGCACAGATTTTAGATTTAAACAACCACATTCTCACCTGAAACACTGTTAAAATTACATTTCATGACACAATAACAGTAGTATTTTGATATTTCGCGGGTTTTCTCCTCTGCTATTGACGCTTGCTGGTTGGTGCGAGATGGATTCTGGGATACTTGGCCATCTCAAGTCCACACAAGTCACCTCTCGATGCATCCTCGGTAAACGGGGCGGAACAAGAACACATCCGGGGATTTGAAATGGACTTGGCTAGATGTGAACTTTGATTTGGAACAGTACTTGGGCAGTGAATGATGACGTTTCACAAGTCCACAAGAACACAAGTACAGACAAGAACACATATTGAGAAACGGCCTGCAGTGACTGCAGGAAATGGAATGTACATGCTGATGAACTCATCAAGGACGTGTCAGGCAAGTGACCCCAAAACAGATATCTATGGGGTATACTGATACATATCATTACTTAATATACTCATTCAAGAACACAATGCATATAACATGTTTGACTGTCTTACACAATGAATCAAATGTATAGATGATGACACATGGACTCACAGGATGTACATGATCACCCCGA